GTGTGTGTGTGTGTGTGGGTGTGCATGTATGTATGCCTATATAAATATTAGTTATTGTAAGTAAATAGCCAACTACAGAAAAAAAAATGATTTACAGTAAAGTCTGAGTTAACAATTGTTCAATGTAGAGCAATAAAACAAAAATCAACTGGGTGTTTATAAAGATAGGAATGACTAGATCTACTGAGACAACTTGATGCTATCATATTAATTAATTAATAACTACTTGTTCAAAGATCAATCTATCAGTTCTTTTTTTTTTAATGATAATTTAGGAGAAGTACTAGTACTTTAACTTTTAATGTTTAATTAAAATCAGTAGCAATATGTCCTGTCTTTATTACGTCGAATGCAAAGTATGTGACAATTTATTTGGTGAGATAATAATTGAGCTAAAGTTCCTCCTATACTAATAATAACAGGACATTTAGTGCACGTAATGGCATAATAGAAGTTAGATAACGACACATTTCTTTTTTGTTTAATATTTTTTTGGCAATTATTGTCATTAGGCCCTGGTATAGAAACAAGGAACTACATTATTGGTGTTACTGTTCATAGAGTAGTGCATGTAGTAATAGCAATGTGGGCTACTTCGTTAGGTAAGTTGTTGTTTGACATTATGTTACTGTGTCTGTACACAATCATAGGTAAGTTTCTTAGTGTGTAGGGTCGTCATCTAATATAGGTTGTAAACCATTAATGATGAGTTGTAGTGTAGAGGAGTATGTGTGATGAGTAGAGAAAAACGATAATTTGTCCCATTTGTCTTGTAGGTTTTAGACTTAGGCCTAAGCATTTTGTCGTGGTGTGTTTGCCTTTGGCTAAAGGTAGCTCGTACTCAATAAATAACAGAAAACATTCCTGCCTCACTATTTATTCTATCATACCAGATCTAACAATCACGGTTGTTCACAGGGTATTGACACAAATAATACATTATCGGTACATATTAAAAATATATTACAACTAAGGCCTACATAATGTAAAACTATACATGTTAATTTATTGAGAAAAAAAAAATTAAAAACAAAAATTATCGTAGAAACATAAATATAATATAACATTTCCATTTTAGTAATATATCTAGGGCTACTTTAAATTAATATTTATTTATAATGACTTACATTAAATATATACATATATGTATGTATGTATAGGCCTATATATATATATATATATATATATATATATATATATAATATAACTCATGGTAGCCGTTAACACTGTTAAATTATATATAAATCATCAAAGAAAGAGGTAGTTCGAAAAAAGGACATGATAATGCATCGTGCAGCATAGCTCTACAAATGTTGTCCTATAAATTAATCAATAAAGAAATTACGAACCTGCGACCTCTCACTGTCAAGGCGAGCGTCATAACCATTAGACCACAGAAGCCTCATGGTTGAACAAATTCAAATTACCGCCAGATACACTTTATTACACAATAGCTACGGCTGGAAACAAATAATTGCATATAATATAACTCAAGGTAGCCGATAACACTGTTAAATTACATAAATCATCAAAGAATGGTAAATACAGTGTTCGAAGTGTTCGAAAAAAGGGCATGATAATGCATCGTGTAGCATAGCTCTCAACGAATGTTGTCCTATAAATTAATCAATAAAGAAATTGTAAAATAAATAACAAATATCCTTTTTTAAAGTCCTAGTTTCGCAGCATGAGCGAAGTTTCTTAGCTTACATAGTGGAATTGTAATAAAATTTAATTGAACAATAGGCCTATTTAGTATCGTATTTGCAGGCTGACGGTAAATGTATCACTTCAATGTATCAAATCAATCACCTGTTTTAATTTCCTGCATCGATTCAAATACACGCTTGCCTATGCTCTGGTGTGGAGTAAGTCTTCCGGATAAGGACTATAAGCCGTAGGCCCCAGTGTAAACAATTAACTTATGTGCACTGTAAAGAACCCAGTACATATATCGAGACGAGTAGTGGTTACAATGGTTAATTGGTCCACCTTACAGCCTCCGCCCTTATCCTGTACGAAAGCACAACGACAGGTAGTCTGTACTAGAATGGAAGAAGCATAGGAAGGCCCATGAACGGTTGAATCGTGAAACAGAGCAGCTGATCATTCAGGCTGACGTACAGTAGCGTAACTAGGTTGTGAGGGGCCTGGTTCAAGAGTACAGTCGGGGCCTTTGACACATGTAAATTTACTGACCATGTCAACTAAGATGACCATCGATTGGTTAGAGGAGCAGGAGCCCCTCCGATTTTTTAAATACTATTATTATAAAAGTAACCAACATAGATGATTTATGTAATACAATTATTACAAAAATGCCAACCTTTTACCGAATTATTTTAGGTTCACTGTGCAAGTTAAATAACTCTCAGAAAATATTGACATTTATGAATATATGTGTGAAAAAGTGAATAAACATGTTGTATTTAATTTTTAAAAAAACACATTTAGTCTATAAATCTTGGGTTAAATCAGGTTTTATAAAAATAAGTGATATTGTTAAGCTTTGTCTACACTATTAAATTTTATGTGACAAAAAATGTGATGTGCCCATATATGGGTAGCATGACGTCATATCACATATCATCAAATTGTAGCCTATCAAAAAAAAGTTGAACGTGTTCAACTCTATGTACCATCACATTTTATGTGACGCTTTTTTTGATAAAATTTGATAGTGTAAGACAAAGCTTCAAGGGTAATAGATTTTTAAAAGATATTTATAACTGTTTTGTAAAAATGTTTCGCAGAAATCTTGTAAAATTCGATCAAAATGGGAATAATTCTAAATAATTCTAGATATTCCATGGAAAACGGTCTGGATAAGAAAGGTAAAAAATATAGTAGAGAAAAAACTTGCAAATTTTAATTTGCAATTAATTGTACAATTACAACACGTTCACGTCTTTTAAATGGAAATTTTCCCACAAAGACTGCTGTTTATTCTGTAATCCGAATACTATAGAAGATGATTTTTTTAATCTCTTTTGGGGTTGCGTAAATGCAAATGTCTGAAAGGAAATAAGCAGAATTATTAAACAAGAGTTTTGATATACTGCAACTTTTAATGACATTGTTATAGGTACTGAAAACATTTATGTTAACCATATCTATTTGCTTGTTTTTTGCCTACACAAAGCTGCCGTTCTCAAAGCAGTGGGTAAACTAAAATAAATTAAAGCTCTGCTCGATTCTGAATTGTAAGTTAGAACTAAACTATTAAAAAAATTGTTAATTAAATAAATACCAATCTACCATTTATATTAGCACAATACTGATATAATTGTATTTACGACTTATGTATATATGTATATAATATATGTATATATACATATATATATACATATACATATATATATATACATAATATTACATATATATATATATATATATTATTGTTTATCCCCGATTGCTAGTTTTTAATCGTACGTGTTATCGCTGAGGAAGAGCACAGGCGTGCTCGAGATATTCGAAATAACAAATTGTTTAATGTCTATTATGTCAACGTATACGACTCTACTTTGTGTCTGTCTCTTATACACAT